ACGACCAAGCACTCACTCCTCCCACCTTTAATCAGAGAATCATATGACCTTTCCTTGTTTCTCTCCCTAACGTCAATATCATATTTCTTATCGCTTTGCCTCACTGACTATTCCCATCCGTATTTAGTACACTCAAACTTAAAAGGATTTGAAACTGATATGGAAATTTAGTCAGAAAAGCGAGTGTTTCTCTCTCTCTCTCTCTTATACCTTATGTTTTTCCTCAAGACCATGGCAATGCGGACACATTTCCCACGTGTCGATGTCCTCAGTCCATGTTTTCTTATACTTCCGGAGAATATCTTTATTTTCAGGCATAGCCCGGGCGAGGCTCTGCCTCGCGAATCTTAAAAAAAAAAAAAAAAAAAAAAAAAAAAAAAAAAAAAAAAAAAAAAAAAAAAAATCTTTATTTTCGGCAATTCTCTTTGTTTCTCTTACTTTTCATCACATCTTCGTCTTTCTCTCTGCTCTATTTCTTTTCTCTTTACATCGTTTTCTATTACTCTTTCTCTGTTTCTGTTTTATTATTACTCTATTTTCTGTTTATACAACTGTATTCGTTCTTACTTTTCCTCTTTCTCCCCCCTTCCGTTCTTTCTCTTTGTCACCCCTCTCTCCCTCTCGGATTTGCTCCCCTTCCTTTTCTCTTCCCTCTCTCCCTCCCCTCCTTTGTTTTGTTTTTTCTTTTTTTCTCCTGCCTCCTACCCTATTTTTTTCCCCATCCCTCTCTCCCTCCTTTCGTATTTCTTCCCCCCTCCCCACTTTTTCTCCACCCTCTCTCCCTCCTTTCGTATTTTTCCCCTCCCCTCCTTTTCTCCTTCCCTCTGTCTCTCCTTTGGTTTTTCTTCTCCCCCTCCTTTGCTCCCTTCCTCTCTCCCCTCCTTTGGTTTTTTTTTCTCCCTTCCTCCTTTCGTATCCCCCCCCTTCCTCTCCCCTCCATACCACTTATATGCTAACCGAACAGGCTGCTCATCCTTAATATAATTACAAGTATCACAGAATATGTGCACATGTGTAGCTTCACATCCGGTCATTGTACAAAAACAGAGGCAACGAAGCGAGCATGGTTTGTAATGGTCGCTGTACGTTTGAAATTGATGTACTTGTGTTCTCTGTTGAAAAGTAATGTTGGTGTTTTTCTGTGGCTGTTTGGTTTATTTCAGTTAATTATTGGTATTGGGTTAGAAAATTGATGATATTGATAGTGACGGTATTAATGGAAATAGGAATTTTCTGTATAACTTTACCTCAAAATGATAATGATGGTGATAAATAATAATTATAATGATAATGATAGCAGCAACAATAACGAAAGCGTCAGCATTTACAATAACAATAACCATAACAATAACAACAAGTTTGATAATAACGGACGATAGAAATAAATAGAAATAAAGAAAAAACGGTTAACACTAACAAATAAAATTCCCAGCAGCCTCTCAACCGTCGTCGTTAGAGTGGTTTGAGAAACGATTAAAGACCTTCGCTGTACATAAGGCAAAGGAAGCGATGGAAGAGCTAGTTGGGTAATTCCGTTGCGCCCTTTTAAAGAGTAAATTTTGGAGAGAGAAAGAGGAGAGAGACGTAAGAATGGGGTGAGGGAAGAAAAGCGGAAAGAAAGGAAATGAGAGAGAGAGAAAGAAAGAAAGTGTGGGAGGTAGAAAAGAGAGAGAGAGAACGAAAGAAAGAGAGAGGGCAGGTAAAGAAACAAATGAAAGAGAAAGACAGGAAGGTCATTAATTCTATATACACATATCAGGGTAACCATGACAACGAACTAAAATAAAGCGAGGATGAGACGTAGGCGAAAATATATTCAAAAAGAAAAATACAATGTCAATAATCCGCCTGTAAAAAAATAATAGATCAAAAGGACACTAACGAACATAATATACAAAAGTGATTACACGTAATTGTGTTAACCTCTGCTCTCTCTCTCTCTCTCTCTCTCTCTCTCTCTCTCTCTCTCTCTCTCTCTCTCTCTCTCTCTCTCTCTCTCTCTCTCTCTCTCTCTCTCTCTCTCTCCGTTTCTCCCTTCCTCCCTCCCTCCTTCCTTCCTTTCCTCCCTCTCCCCCCCCCCCTCTCTCTCTCTCTCTCTCTCTCTCTCTCTCTCTCTCTCTATCTCTCTCTCTCTCTCTCTCTCTCTCTCTTTCTCTCTCTCTCTCTCTCCCTCCTCCTCCTCCTCCTCCTCCTCCTCCTCCTTTTCCCTCTCCCTCCCTCCTTCTCTCTCTCCCTCTCTCAAAAAAAAAAAAAAAAAAAAAAAATACCGGCTTATTGTCAGCCAAACTCAATTTCTTAAGAGGGCAGGGCAAGAGGGATAATTTTTAGATGAATAGTAACTTCATTAAAGTTGTTTATTAGCTGTGTATCTTTTATTACATGAATCTAAAATGTAAAAGAGCAAAGTAGTGAAGACAGTCAATAGATGCAACTGTGTGTGTTCGTGTGTGAGTGTGTGTGTCCGTGCGTATGTATGTTCTTGTGTGTGTGTGTGTGTGTCCGTGCGTGTGTGTGTTTGTGTGTGTGTGTGTGTGTGTGTGTGTGTGTGTGTGTGTGTGTGTGTGTGTGTGTGTGCGTGTGTGTATGTGAATGTATGTGTGTGCATTCGTGTGTGAAAATGTTGAATCATTTTCATTCCTGTCTTTTCGGAACTTTCTCTGAAAGATGACATTGCAAAAACAAATTATCAAGTATGATTAGATGATGCAGCTGTCTTATGCCTAAAATAAGCGAACATATAGGGCCGGTCTTGTTAAAACTGGGCGAGGCTCGACCCAATGCATATTCACAAACACATGCATATACACAGAAATTAATGTATATCTGTTTTATCTATCTGTCATTCGTAGTTAACGTTAAAGTAATAGCTAGTGTGTATTAGTGGGTTATTTGATAGTATCGCTTCGGGTCCTGACGCCAGAACTGTATTTACAGTATTCGATATTTTAAAAGACCGGTTCAGTAGCTTTACCAGTTTCCAGTTGCTACTCTAAGCATTTTGTATATCATTGTGGAAAGATAGCACTATGTACATAATTGATAGTGCTTGTTTAAACACTTTCGCCAACACCATAGTCACCATACTCACTATTTCTACATAACACTCTCTATATATTTTCATTAAATAACGCGTATTCCTTCATCTGTATTTTATGTTTATATTAATTATTCTATTTTTAGTACAGTAATAAGCTTCTCTATATATTTTCGTAAAATGTCACGTATTCATTCATCTGCATTTTATTTTAATACTAAAAACACTATTACTAGTACAGTAATAAATACCTCTATATTTTCGTAAACAATCGCGTATGCATTCACATTTTTTTTTTCTTTTTTGTTCCTCTATTCCTCTGTAGACGGGACATGCTAATCGTTCACCCTTATTCACACACTCGACCGTCTCGCAGATCGACAAACACGACAGGAGGCGGTGGTTAGCATTCGACCATTGTTCAGGGCAACACTAATCCTATTTCTAGGCTTGCAGAACACGTACTTCTGCGAATGAAGAGAAGGGGAGTGTGTTACGTCGTTTGTTTTAAGTTTTTATGCAATTTTGTTTATATGGCGGCACAGAGAGTAACGTATCTTTGAGTACGAATAAAAGTATGTTCATGTTTCGGATTACATGATGGGTATACAGTTTCTTTTTATTGAGATCTTGCTTTATTAAAGGGACCGGTTCGTGTAAGATAAAGTGGGATGACGATATATATGTAAGCATTTATTTGAAATCTTGCTACAGTCAAAGAGACCGCTTTGTTTTGTTTGCGTTTCTTTGAAGAGGGAAAATTGCCAAGGGAAGTGTGTTTGTGGTTTGTGAATCTGGGTGTTATTCTTACCTTGTTATTGAGGTCCACGGTGCACGGGTTGGATTTTTGCCTCCGTTCCATGCACAACACGGGTTCTGAAGGTCTTTGACTTTTGTGTGTGCGAGAGAGAGAATAAAGATGAGGGTGGGAGGGAGAAGAAAGGAGGAGGGAGAGAGAGAGAGAGAGAGAGAGAGAGAGAGAGAGAGAGAGAGAGAGAGAGAGAGAGAGAGAGAGAGAGAGAGAGAGAGAGAGAGAGAGAGAGACAGAGAGAGAGAGAGAGAGAGGAAAGGAGAGGGAGGGAGGAGAGAGGGAGAAGTTAAGGCAGGGAGGGAGAGGGAAAGGAAGGGGAGGGGAGGGAGAGAAAGCGGGAAAGGGAAAGAGAGAGGAAGAGGGTGGGGGGAAGACGAAAGGAGGGAGGGAGAGGGATGAAAGGGAGGGAGGGAAGGAGAGACGTAGAGGGAGAGAGAGGTGAAAAAAAGGGACAGAGGGAGAGGAAGACTGAGAGTGAGACACAGACAGACAGGAGAGGGAAAGGAAGGGAAAGAGAGAGAGGGAAAAGGAGAGCAAGGGTAAGAGGGGGAGGGAGAGGGAAAGAAAGGGAAGTGGAGGAAGAGGGAGAAGGAGAGAGGGGAGTGTGGGTGGGAGAGGAATGGAGGGAAGAAAAAAGAGACGAAGAGGGAGAGAGAGGGAGAAAAGGGAAGGAGAAAGAGGAAGGCAGAGAGAGAGAGACAGACAGACATACAGAGACAAACAGACACAGACAATCAGAGCGCTATGTATCTACCTCTGCGCACATGTATGCACATATACGTTAATAAACCATGAGTAGGTATATGTAAAAATAAAAGTCATTGACGCATCGAATAAAGGAAAGGAAAATGTCCCGCCCTAACACAGGGAGGTCATGCAATGTCATGCGGTTCCGCTTTCATTCCACTGTGACTGTAAAAGAAAAGAATAAAGAAAAACAAAGGAAAGAGGAAATAGAGAGAGAGAGGGAGAGAGAGATGAAAAAAAGAATTAGAAATGGATAGGTGTAGATATAGCTAGAGAGAGAGAGAGACAGACAGAGACAGAGACAAAGAAAAAGAACGAGAACGAGAGAGAGAAACTAACCACCACTCCAACATATACTAACCGAATACCACACTACCCCACATTAACCCTACCCGCCTTCTTCTCCCCAAACAGCGAGAATGTATCAGCATTCACATAGGCCAAGCTGGCGTACAGATGGGCAATGCCTGCTGGGAACTCTACTGCCTGGAGCACGGCATTCAACCTGACGGAGTGATGCCCTCGGACAAGACCATAGGCGGCGGTGACGATTCCTTTAACACCTTCTTCAGCGAGACGTCTTCAGGAAAACATGTTCCTCGCGCGGTCTTTGTGGATTTGGAGCCTTCTGTTGTGGGTGAGTGTTAAGTGAAATATAAAGATAGTTGTAGGCTCTATGGAGTATTATATTAAGGGATTACAAGAATTAATAGATACAAGAAAAATATGTAGAATAAATAAATAAGTCGAAAGTAAAAAGTGAAGGGATGAATAATAAAATGAATAAAGTAAAAATAGAAGAATTAATTACATGACTGAATAGAAAGGAAATGAGTAAAGAAACATAGATAATTTAATGAATGGCTAAATGAAAAAAAGCAAAAAGAATAAAGTAAGGAAATTAGTAAGTAAAAATAGAGAAAGGGATTATATGAGTGAATAAAGAATGGAGAAATTACATAGGAAGAAGGAAATAAGAACATGGTTGTATAAGAGAAGAAAAGTGAATAAGTAAATGAATAAAAGTTATTATATATGTCTTTATAATCAGTATTATCATCATCACCACAACTACCCCCCCTCCCCATTCATTCACTACCATCACGATAAGTCAACCATCATTGAACTCTTTCTCTTCCAGGCGATAATATCTACCCCTTCCCCCATTATCATTGTTATTGTTATTATCATTATTATCATCTTTATTTATTACCAATTGTTGTCTTTCATACTGTTGATCATGCTAATGATAATGATAATAACACCTTTTCAAAATTTACGTATTATTATCCACTATACTCCTTTCCTATCTCATTCATCCCTTCCACCATTCACCATATTCTTTTAACTACCCCCCACGCCCTCCTTCAGTACCTTCCTCCCATGCATCCCTCCACCATTCATCACCATCACCATCATTCACCATCCATTCAACCCCCTCCCCCCCACCCCCCTTCACTACCTCCCTCCCATTCATCCCTCCACCATTCACTATCATTCACTTAACCCTTTCATCTCACAGACGAGGTACGCACGGGAACGTATCGTCAGCTGTTTCACCCCGAACAGCTGATCACGGGCAAGGAGGACGCGGCCAATAACTACGCCCGTGGACACTACACTATAGGGAAGGAGCTGGTCGATTTGGTGCCCGACAAGATACGGAAAATTGCCGACATGTGCACAGGACTTCAGGTATGAGGGAGATTTCGTTGCGTTGAGTTTCAGTGTGTGTTATTGGGTTTCAATGTGTATTTAAGAGTTAGAGGTCTTTTGTGTGTTAGAGAGTTTCATTGTGTGTAATAAAGTTTCACTGCGTGTTATTGAATTTCTCTTGGTTTTATGGTTTCACTGCATAGAGCCCCAATGAGTATTCTAAGTTTCATTGTATTTTATAGAGTTTCACTGTGTATTAAAGAATTTCACTGATTATTTTAAGCTTCACTGCGTATGGAAGTTTCACTACGTGTTATAGAGCTTAACTTAACTTTGTATATAAAGTTTCACTGCATATCATAAGGCATCACTGCCTATTTTAGACTGTTTGCGTATCCTAAGGCTTCACACCAAAATATAGAGCTTCAGTCCGTAAGTATAAAATTCTCTGCATGTTATAGAGCTTCACTGCGGATCATTAAGCTTCATTCCTAAAGTTCCACTGCAGATTATGAAGCTTCGTATTTCTATAGTATAAAGCTCCATAGGATTTTTATGTACTAAGCGTGTGTTTCGTAGCTATTATTCTAATTTTTAGGTTTAGTGGGTGTTACAAAGTTTCTTTACGGATTATAAAGCTCCGTTGCTTTTATTGCAAATTATTTATATTATTATTATCAGTATCAGTATTGATAATATAATCATCATCATCATCATCAACAACATCATTATTGTTATTACTATTGTTATTATTATTATCATCATTGTTTTGTGGTATATGGATATTATGAAGGTCATAAGGTCACCCGCTTTCCCCTTGTGACTGTCCTTGAGGAGGTTATAAAAATGACCTTTCTGGGTTAACGAGCTCGTCCGAGAAATACGTGTTTTGTGTATGATTTTATATTTCCTATTTGTTTGTTTTTATTTGTTTTATTTTCCATTATAACTCAGTTACGAAAATAGGGTTTTGTTTTGTGTATGATTTTTATATATTTTTTTTTTTTCTATTATAAGTCAGTTACCAAGATAGGGTTTTGTTTTGTGTATGATTTTATATTTCATTTTTTTTTATTTGTTTTATTTTCCATTATAAGTCAGTTACCAAAATAGGGCTTTGTTTTGAATCATATCGTGTGTTCGTGGGCGTGAGAGAAGAGCAGACGGGGTTTGTTGCATTTATTTGTAAATTAATATGTAATGCGTAAAATGAAATGTGTATAAATGAATAAATGAAAAAGAATTAAACAGTACGATAAAAAGTGACAGTTGAAAATATATTTAGAATATAGATAAAGAAGATAGCACGGTTATGATTATAACAATAAAACACGAACGAATTATTGTACTTACTACTTGCCAAGTAAAAAAAAAAAAAAAAAATGTTTGTAACATTTCGTTATCTGAAAACCAACTGAAAAAAGCAGACGGAAACAATTTGTTGTGAAAATTGGTTATTTACAAAACACACACACACACGCACACGCGCACACACGCGCACACGCGCACACACACACACACACACACACACACACACACACACACACACACACACACACACACACACACACACACACACACACACACACAGAAAATTTGAACTGACATATATAAGTGTATATTTGAACTGACATATATATATGTGTAAATTTGAACTGACATATATATATGTGTGTATATATATATATATATATATATATATATATATATATATATATATATACAAACATACATATACATATATACATTTTCTGTTGAACATTCGGATGTAAACCATTAAGGGCGGCACATTAAGAAAAAAGTACTTAACGTTTAGATGAACCACAAACCCATTTACAATAACAAACCCAATGACAAATATCCTCTCATATAAAAACATTCAAGAAAAAAACGAAAAGATAACATTTGATTTTTTGGGGGAGTTTCTCAGACAGAATGGCTTAGGGTTGACGCAATGCAGTCTCGTTAAGGCCGAAACGCGGAAAATCCTGCGACGCATAACACGCTTCATTTGTTTCCGGAATAAGGTTGCAGTATACGATTTTTTTTCCAGCTTAACTAGAGAAGGCGATATTTAATATTTTTTTATTTGTTTATTTATTTACTTATCATGTATTGTAACAAAAGGATAATTCGTTTTTTCTTTTCTTTTCTTTTCTTTTTTTTCTCTATTTCTTCATCCACTTATTCTTCTACTTTTTTCATATTCTTTTCGACAAGCCTTGTGAGAAAGTCGTAATTAAGAAAATCATCACCATCATCATCATCATCATCATCACCATCATCATCATCATCATCATCATCATCATCATCATCATCATCATCATCATCATCATCATCATCATCATCATTATAAACATCATTACTACTGTTATTGTAATTATTTTCATCATCGTCATTATAGCCCCCAATGTCGTTATGATTAATATCATGAAATCGTGTAGTTATATCAATATATTTTATGAACTTCACATCTCGGTTTTCTGTTTTTATGATGAATGTTACTCTATATGATCGGAGATGCAACATAATTAAGATTTTCTAAAGGTCTGTTTTAATTAACAAGGATAACATGTTTTACCCGGATTGCCTTCATATTTAATTCATTTACTTAAGTGCTTTCATTTTCTTCCGATAAAAAAACACGAGTTTCATTCATAAAATTGTTTAGTTGTTTTGCGAATAAGCAGTGAGGATAGACACACGAATGATGAAGCTATTAGTGATAAATGGTGATTTGGAAACATTTCTTGCTTTCTCCTACTCCTCCCCCACTCCGCTGTCTTTCTCTTTCCCTCTGTCTGTCTATCTACTTATCTCTCTGTCATTCTGTTTCTTTCTTCTTCTTCTTCTCTCTCTCTCTCTCTCTCTCTCTCTCTCTCTCTCTCTCTCTCTCTCTCTCTCTCTCTCTCTCTCTCTCTCTCTCTCTATCTCTCTCTCTCTCTCTCTCTCTCTCCCTCTCCCTCTCCCTCTCCCTCTCCCTCCCTCTCCCTCCTCCACCTCCCCCTTCCCCTCTCCTCCAAAGACGTACGAGAATATACGTAAAAGAACACAGAGCCTATTATCCTTTATGACAACAATCATTGCAGATATAATTCATCATATCTATCAGTGTCTATTAGAAATAGTAATCACAGGTATTTGCTGTTACCGTACTAATTACCTCATTGGGTATAAAGCTACAATTGATAATGAGGAATAAAATGTTTACATCAAATATTCAAGTTAATAACGCAAAGTAATTAACATACAAAAGTCACACTAAATCAGTATGCATTTGTTTATTTCTGTGTTCAGTTTTCTCTCTCTCTCTCTCTCTCTCTCTCTCTCTCTCTCTCTCTCTCTCTCTCTCTCTCTCTCTCTCTCTGTGTCTTTCCCTCTCTGTCTCTCTCTGTCTCTCTCTCTCTCTCTCTCTCTCTCTCTCTCTCTCTCTCTCTCTCTCTCTCTCTCTCTCTCTCTCTCTCTCTCTCTGTGTCTTTCCCTCTCTGTCTCTCTCTGTCTGTCTCTCTCTCTCTCTCTCTCTCTCTCTCTCTCTCTCTCTCTCTCTCTCTCTCTCTCTCTCTCTCTCTCTCTCTCTCTCTCTCTTTCTCTCCTTTTTTTTCAAGTGCTTCTCTCCCTCACACCCCTCGCTTATCTTATATTTAATTAATTCCCCCCCCATACATCTTCTTTCTTTTCCTTTCCCATACATCAGGAAATTCCCTAACCGCTCTCCCTTCCCAGGCTTTCTTGATTTCCCTCTTTCAGTCCCTCTCCCTTCTTTTCTTTTATTCATTTCTTACATACATTTTTTTTCTCCCCCCCCCACTTCTTTCCTTTCGTTTTTCCCCCCACACACTTCTTTCCTTTTCTTCTTTTCCCCCCATACATCAGTATTTTTTTCCTTTTCTTTTTCCCCCCACACGCTTCTTTCCTCTTCCTCTTTCCCACATACATCGATAAATCTTTCTTGTCTCTTCTTTTTCCCTCACACGTCGATAAATTCTCCTAACCCCTCTCCTTCCCCAGGGCTTCTTAGTCCCTCTTCCTTCCTTTCTTTTATTCAATTCCCCCATGCATCTTTCATTTCCTTCTTTTCCCCATACACCTTCTTCCCTTTCCTTTTCCCCCAAAACATTTCTTTCCTCTTCCTCTTTCCCCCATAAATCGATAAATCTTATTTCCTTTTTCCTTTTTTCCCCCCTACACATCGTTAAATTCCCCTAACCCCTCTCCTTCCCCAGGGCTTCCTAGTCCCTCTTCCTTCCTTTCTTTTATTCATTTCCCCCATACATCTTCTTTCATTTCCTTCTTTTTCCCCCATACATCGATAAATCTTCTTTCCTTTTTCCTCTTTTCCCCCACACGTCGTTAAATTGCCCTAACGCCCCTCCTCCCCCAGGGCTTTCTGATCTTCCACTCCTTCGGCGGCGGCACAGGATCCGGGTTCACGTCCCTGCTGATGGAACGCCTCTCGGTCGACTACGGCAAGAAGAGCAAGCTCGAGTTCTCCATCTATCCGGCTCCTCAGGTCAGTGGCCATTATGGATTTGTGTAAAATAACGTTATTTTGTGTATTTACTGTTTTAATTTCTGCCTTTCCTTTTTTTCTATTTTTTAAAGTTTGCTGTTTATGACTTAGAGTTTTCCATCTGTCTGGTTCCTCATGTCAGTGGGTTATATGTGTTTATGAATAACGTTATTTTGTGTATTTACTCTTTTGTTAACATTTTTTAAAATCATTGTTGCTTGTGTAATGGGATGTTAACTCGCCGGAATATCAGTTCGTTATTATTTTATTTATTTGTATGGATAACCTTATACTTTCCCTTCCTATATATATTTTTTTTACAATTCATTGTTAGTTGCGATGTGGGATACTCACTCCCCGGAATCACAGTATCAAAAGTATATCAACAAGCACGTCAAAATGAACAAAAAATAAATTGCTTTTCCCCTAATCACGACGGAATATTTACGTCGCTTATACCAAAGCCCTCGCCCTCTCTCTCTCTCTCCTTTAGGTCGCCACAGCGGTCGTGGAGCCCTACAACTCCATCCTGACGACCCACACGACCCTCGAACACTCCGACTGCGCTTTCATGGTCGACAACGAAGCCATCTACGACATCTGCAGGAGGAACTTGGACATCGAACGTCCCTCCTACACGAATCTCAACCGTCTCATTGGCCAGATCGTGTCTTCGATTACGGCGTCGCTCAGGTTCGGACGAGGAGGGTTGGGTACATGCACATATATACGCATACGCACACGCACAGACATACACACGCACGCACGCGCACACACACACACACAAACACACACACACACACACACACAACACACACACACAACACACACACACACACACACACACACACACACACACACACACACACACACACACACACACACACACACACACACACACGTCATTTGTGCCTGTGTATTAATTACAATATTCATATTTCATCATTATCCTAATTTTATAAAGAGCATCCATTGAATGGATTAAGATGTGAAATAACCATGGGAGGTTATTCTTGATAAATATTTTAAATCGATAAATCGATTTTCAAATTCATCAATTCTTATATCAAATTCCTTACGGGCCTCATAGTAACTAACATACAGTATTATGCAACTCGCAGTTCAGTAGAATAAGATTTAGTTATAAACGTTTGTATCTGATATTCTTGTATGTAAATTTACTCTGCAGAGAAGTATACCAGTTTTACCTGTCATATTTTCAGGCATATGTCCAACTGTACTATTACATGTAAAAACACAAACCAAAGATTTTTTAATGCTTTTATAATTACTTATCATATTAATACACATGTCCAGTAGCTCTTGACTATTAAATATACATGTACAAATTACAGATTCAAGTTTAATTACCGACTTGTTTATTTATCACTTTACTGTTTTTGCATTAAAAAAAACTCAGCTTTAGCTATCATTTCAGCAGATAATCACCACTTGACCAATATACGTCAATACAGAAAACCCCACATTCATATAGAGGTTTTATAATATATAATTTCTTATACCCAGGTTCGACGGTGCTCTGAATGTTGACCTGACAGAATTCCAGACGAATCTCGTACCCTATCCACGTATACACTTCCCTCTAGTAACTTATGCTCCTGTTATATCAGCGGAAAAGGTGTACCACGAGCAGTTGTCTGTGGCTGAGATCACCAATGCTTGTTTTGAACCTGCTAATCAGGTGTGTGTTGGACTGAGAGTTACGTTAAATGTAGGTATTTGCGGATGGTTAATAGGTAGTTGTAAATCGTTTTCATCGTTGTGTGTGTGTGTGTGTGTGTGTGTGTGTGTGCGTGTGTGTGTGTGTGTGTGTGTGTGTGTGTGTGTGTGTGTGTGTGTGTGTGTGCGTGTGTGTGTGTGTGTGTGTGTGTGTGTGTGTGTGTGTGTGTGTGTGTGTGTGTGTGTGTGTGTGTGTGTGTGTGTGTGTGTGATTGTTCAATTATGTAGGATTGCAGTAGATATTTATAGATCATGGAAAAGTGTTCTCAGATTATATAAAAATATTTTTTTCGTGTTATAAATTATCCCTTCATTTTTTTGCAAAATTTCATTTCGTATCGTCCATTGGTAATATTTCTAAAATCTGTAGATGAACCATGACACTTATAGTCTAATGATATTTATAAACTTTTAAACTCAAACATCTTCCAACTGTGACTAATAATATGGTAACATTTTTCTTATGAGATGTAACATAACATTGTGAAGATTGACAAGTACAAGATAGGAGCAGTACTTATTAGTAATGATTCATAACCTTTTGATTAGATTTAACATTGCACGTATAAATGGTGAAAATACGACTATAATAGTGAGCTAATAGAATTTTTAAAAAGTCCGATGTACTATTACTTTTTCTACGTACGGATCGCGAAATT